AAATCGCCCGAAATCGGTGATGGTACCACTTTGGAATCTGGCAAAAATGGACCCGGAACAAATATGCCCAAATCTGTGCTTAATAGACTCAATGGACGGCGAAGGATAGGCTCACGCCGAATCCTTGATCCGTAGCCTTCAAAATCCAAGGAAAATGGCCTTCCGAAAAAGCGCGCGTAAAATTACGAAAATGCTCCCGGAATTTTTTTTTCCCCAAATTGGCGATTGATTGACTTCATCATCGGTGGATAATAGCCCCAGTCCGCCTCAGGCCGAATCCGTGACCTTTACCCTCCAAAATCCAACGAAAATGGCCATTCCATAAAATCGCCCGAAATCGGTGATGGTACCCCTTTGGAATCTGGCAAAAATGGACCCGGAACAAATATGCCCAAATATGTGCTTAATAGACTCAATGGACGGCGAAGGATAGGCTCACGCCGAATCCTTGATCCGTAGCCTTCAAAATCCAAGGAAAATGGCCTTCAGAAAAAGCACGCATAAAATTACGAAAATGCCCCCGGAATTTTTTTTGCCCAAATTGGCGATTGATTGACTTCATCATCGGTGGATAATAGCCCCAGTCCGCCTCAGGCCGAATCCGGGACCTTTACCCTCCAAAATCCAACGAAAATGGCCATTCCATAAAATCGCCCGAAATCGGTGATGGTACCCCTTTGGAATCTAGCAAAAATGGACCCGGAAAAATATGCCCAAATCTGTGCTTAATAGACTCAATGGACGACGAAGGATAGGCTCACGCCGAATCCTTGATCCGCAGCCTTCAAAATCAAAGGAAAATGGCCTTCCGAAAAAGCGCGCGTAAAATTACGAAAATGCCCCCGGAATTTTTTTTGCCCAAATTGGCGATTGATTGACTGCATCATCGGTGGATAATAGCCGCAGTCCGCCTCAGGCCGAATCCGTGACCTTTACCCTCCAAAATCCAACGAAAATGGCCATTCCATAAAATCGCCCGAAATCGGTGATGGTACCCCTTTGGAATCTGGCAAAAATGGACCCGGAACAAATATGCCCAAATCTGTGCTTAATAGACTCAATGGACGGCGAAGTATAGGCTCACGCCGAATCCTTGATCCGTAGCCTTCAAAATCCAAGGAAAATGGCCTTCCGAAAAAGCGCGCGTAAAATTACGAAAATGCCCCTGGAATTTTTTTTGCCCAAATTGGCGATTGATTGACTTCATCATCGGTGGATAATAGCCCCAGTCCGCCTCAGGCCGAATCCGTGACCTTTACCCTCCAAAATCCAACGAAAATGGCCATTCCATAAAATCGCCCGAAATCGGTGATGGTACCCCTTTGGAATCTGGCAAAAATGGACCCGGAACAAATGTGCCCAAATCTGTGCTTAATAGACTCAATGGACGGCGAAGGATAGGCTCACGCCGAATCCTTGATCCGTAGCCTTCAAAATCCAAGGAAAATGGCCTTCCGAAAAAGCGCCCGTAAAATTATGAAAATGCCCCCCGAAATTTTTTTTGCCCAAATTGGCGATTGATTGACTTCATCATCGGTGGATAATAGCCCCAGTCCGCCTCAGGCCGAATCCGTGACCTTTACCCTCCAAAATCCAACGAAAATGGCCATTCCATAAAATCGCCCGAAATCGGTGATGGTACCACTTTGGAATCTGGCAAAAATGGACCCGGAACAAATATGCCCAAATCTGTGCTTAATAGACTCAATGGACGGCGAAGGATAGGCTCACGCCGAATCCTTGATCCGTAGCCTTCAAAATCCAAGGAAAATGGCCTTCCGAAAAAGCGCGCGTAAAATTACGAAAATGCTCCCGGAATTTTTTTCCCCCAAATTGGCGATTGATTGACTTCATCATCGGTGGATAATAGCCCCAGTCCGCCTCAAGCCGAATCCGTGACCTTTACCCTCCAAAATCCAACGAAAATGGCCATTCCATAAAATCGCCCGAAATCGGTGATGGTACCCCCTTTGGAATCTGGCAAAAATGGACCCGGAACAAATATGCCCAAATCTGTGCTTAATAGACTCAATGGACGGCGAAGGATAGGCTCACGCCGAATCCTTGATCCGTAGCCTTCAAAATCCAAGGAAAATGGCCTTCAGAAAAAGCACGCATAAAATTACGAAAATGCCCCCGGAATTTTTTTTGCCCAAATTGGCGATTGATTGACTTCATCATCGGTGGATAATAGCCCCAGTCCGCCTCAGGCCGAATCCGGGACCTTTACCCTCCAAAATCCAACGAAAATGGCCATTCCATAAAATCGCCCGAAATCGGTGATGGTACCCCTTTGGAATCTGGCAAAAATGGACCCGGAACAAATATGCCTAAATCTGTGCTTAATAGACTCAATGGACAGCGAAGGATAGGCTCTAGCCAAATCCTTGATCCGTAGCCTTCAAAATCCAAGGAAAATGGCCTTCCGAAAAAGCGCGCGTAAAATTACGAAAATGCCCCCGGAATTTTTTTTGCCCAAATTGGCGATTGATTGACTTCATCATCGGTGGATAATAGCCCCAGTCCGCCTCAGGCCGAATCCGTAACCTGTACCCTCCAAAATCCAACGAAAATGGCCATTCCATAAAATCGCCCGAAATCGGTGATGGTACCCCTTTGGAATATGGCAAAAATGGACCCGGAACAAATATGCCCAAATCTGTGCTTAATAGACTCAATGGACGGCGAAGTATAGGCTCACGCCGAATCCTTGATCCGTAGCCTTCAAAATCCAAGGAAAATGGCCTTCCGAAAAAGCGCGCGTAAAATTACGAAAATGCCCCCCGGAATTTTTTTTGCCCAAATTGGCGATTGATTGACTTCATCATCGGTGGATAATAGCCCCAGTCCGCCTCAGGCCGAATCCGTGACCTGTACCCTCTAAAATCCAACGAAAATGGCCATTCCATAAAATCGCCCGAAATCGGTGATAATACCCTTTTGGAATGTGGCAAAAATGGACCCAGAACAAATATGCCCAAATCTGTGCTTAATAGACTCAATGGACGGCGAAGGATAGGCTCACGCCGAATCCTTGATCCGTAGCCTTCAAAATCCAAGGAAAATGGCCTTCTGAAAAAGCGCCCGTAAAATTACGAAAATGCCCCCCGGATTTTTTTTTGCACAAATTGGCGATTGATTGACTTCATCATCGGTGGATAATAGCCCCAGTCCGCCTCAGGCCGAATCCGTAACCTTTACCCTCCAAAATCCAACGAAAATGGCCATTCCATAAAATCGCCCTAAATAGGTGATGGTACCCCTTTGGAATCTGGCAAAAATGGACCCGGAACAAATATGCCCAAATCTGTGCTTAATAGACTCAATGGACGGCGAAGGATAGGCTCACGCCGAATCCTTGATCCGTAGCCTTCAAAATCCAAGGAAAATGGCCTTCCGAAAAAGCGCGCGTAAAATTACGAAATGCCCCCCGGAATTTTTTTTGCCCAAATTGGCGATTGATTGACTTCATCATCGGTGGATAATAGCCCCAGTCCGCCTCAGGCCGAATCCGTGACCTTTACCCTCCAAAATCCAACGAAAATGGCCATTCCATAAAATCGCCCGAAATCGGTGATGGTACCTCTTTGGAATCTGGCAAAAATGGACCCGGAACAAATATGCCCAAATCTGTGCTTAATAGACTCAATGGACGGCGAAGGATAGGCTCACGCCGAATCCTTGATCCGTAGCCTTCAAAATCAAAGGAAAATGGCCTTCCGAAAAAACGCGCGTAAAATTACGAAAATGCCCCCGAAATTTTTTTTGCCCAAATTGGCGATTGATTGACTTCATCATCGGTGGATAATAGAGCGTCGGTTACCACTTAAGTTCTCTAAAGAAATCCAAAACTTCTAACAAAATCCAAAACAATATTAATTCAAATAGAACACTTTCAAGCAAAAATTAATATAATAGCTACTGAAAATATAATAGCTACTTAATATAACACCTTCAGCCTTCCCTGGCCGCCGTCGTCGCTGTCGCCCGTCAATTCAACACAGTCGCCTCGCCAGTCGCAAGCCCCCTGGTTGTCGGCCGCGCACGAAGGATCTCCTGCTTATCTCTCGTCTGAGGACGAAACTCAGCTTCCACTCTGTTAATTGTCGATCTAAAGGGCCGAGTTTTTTTTTTCACAAAAAAAAAAAAGGGCCGAGTTGAGGTTGGTCTTCTGTAATTAGGGATTTGATTTGTGTCAAAGGTTGGTCTTCTAGAACTAGGATTTGGTTTGTGTTTGAAGGGGTGTTGTTGTTGTTGGTTAATTGTGTAATCGTAAAGGTGGAGGGAATGCAGATCAAAGGTGGAGGAAGCTCGAAAAGAGAAAGGCAAAGGAGGCCGGAGGGAAGCTATGGTCGGAGAAGAGTACACAGGACAGGAGTATTGACCATCCCTTCACTCTCGGTATTCGGCTAACCGTACGTGTCTAACCGGTTAGCAGGTTAACCGGAATTGAAACCGAAATGATATTCAGTTGCTGCCTACTGAATTAAGGTTTACTGTTAACTGGTCAGTCGGTTATCGATTTAACCTATAACCGACCGATTACCACCTCTACATAGGAAGATCTTAAAGAAATAATAGTCAAACTGCAAGAAATTATAATCAAATTAGATAATTGAAGATGAGGTTAATTGCAAGGATGGTCACTGGGTTTACTAAAACCGTTCATGTTTGGCCACTGTAAATATTTAATTCTATTCATGGTCACTAAGATTAGTTCAATAGTTCAAGTTTGGTCACTCTCCGTTAGTTTTTGCTGATGTGGCAGTCAACTATTATAGTTGACCGTTAAATGAGTGACGTGACCAATAAAAAAATAAAAAAATTTAAATATTTATAATTTCCACCTCATTTTACATCTATTAACAATAAATATTTTACAATTATTAAACTAATAAAAAATAAATATTTACAATTTCCACCTCCCCACCAAGATTGGCCCGGAGAACAAGCAATTCCGCGTCGGCAAGTTTCACAAGAAGAAGCGATTCGCCACCGCGCTGGTCGGTGGGGAGACGGTCGTCGACGTGTTCGACGGCGAGGAGATGGAGTGGCACCTGCCTCATGCAAAAGGTAGACGGATGATCGGCCAGGCCGGAGGGCTCGCCGGACGGGGACTGATCGGAGAAGGTGGCGGTGGTGATGCCAGCGATGATGATGGCTACGGGAGTTCCGATCTTTGCTACCGGTTGATGTTTCAGTCGCGAACCGAGGCAAGGTTTTGAATCGCTACCTCCGCGATGTCTACCAGGTGTTCGAGGAAATGTGTCCCGAGTTGCAGCTGTTCACGTGGTGTTGGTCTGAATGTCTTCGCGCCGGGGGTTGGAGACCGATGGAGTCAAGGCATCCGAAGACATTCGACACGATCGCCATGGACGGGGAGCTGAAGAGGAGAATTTAGGATGATCTGGAGAGGTTTGTGGCGAGGAGGGATTTCTACAAGAAGAATGGGGATCCTTGGAAGAGGGGTTACTTGCTGTACGGGCCACCTGGAACTGGGAAATCGAGTGTTGTTGCTGCCATGTCCAATCACTTGAAGTTCAACCTCTATGTTATGGAGCTGGGCAACATTCGCTCTGATTATGAGCTGCGGCATGCCCTGCTCTCGATCCAGAACAAATCGATCGTCGTTTTCGAGGATATCGACTGATGCCCTGAACTCCATGCCAGATCGGAATTGAATGGCGACGATGAATCAACTCATCAGAATGGCCGCACCAATGATGGTAGTCATCTCAAGCTTAAGAACCCTGCAACCAAGGTAATGAAGCTCAAATCTTTTCTACTTCAGTTGCATTACAGATTATAACTAGTAATTTGTGGGGTTTTTCTAGTTCACGCTCTCGACTACGCTGAATTGTAAATATTTATTTTTTATTAGTTTAATAGGTGTAAAATGAGGTGGAAATTATAAATATTTATATTTTTTATTGGCCACGTCACTCATTTAACGGTCAACTATAATAGTTGACTGCCACATCAGCAAAAACTAACGGAGACTAACGGAGAGTGACCAAACTTGAACTATTGAACTAATCTTAGTGACCATGAATGGAATTAAATATTTGCAGTGACCAAATATGAACGATTTTAGTAAACCCAGTGACCATCCTTGCAATTAACTCATTGAAGATGTATTACAATTGGATATATGAAAGAACAATGTAAGTAAAATACACTTGTGTAGTCACAACTTTCTCCTTTTTACCAATAATAGTCACTTTTGGAGAAATATCATATATAGACAATTCTGTCCAATTCTTTAAGGTGTTTTCTAACGTGCTGACTGCACTGATATTTCTTGCTAATGTGGCCATTTTTTTGTCAACAAAATATACAACAATCACGCTAGGTGAAAATGGTTATTTTATTATTATAATTAAATTAGAAAAACAAAAACCTTGACCTTGTGCCCCTCTCTCTTCTCTCGCCTTTTCCCCGCCCTTCTCCAACCCTGCCGCATTGTTTACCTCACCTTGTTAGCGAACTAACCACGTGGCCCTAATAACTCGAGTTGTTGGGAAAGGGATAGTTAAGCCTTTTAACCTCTTATATGACCCCCAAACGAAAGCCGATGCCGAATTGTGGATTTTTTACGATTTGCACCGGTTGAACCCTTGTGCTGCCAAACCACGAGGCTTTAGTTTGCACAGGTTGGACATACCATCCCTTGGGCTAAAAAAATGGCTGAAAATGGGGTCGTCATGAGGATTCGAAACCATAACCTTTCGGTTCTAGGCTCTGATACCATGTTAGCGAACTAATCACTTGGCCCCAATAACTCGAGTTGTTGGGAAAGGGATAGTTAAGCCTTTTAACCTCTTATACACCTCACTCCCATTGAAGAAATCGGCAGCCACTAATTAGAAGAATCAATGGGAAGAAGGGGAACTGGAAGGCCGTTGAAGATGGAGGAGGAGATCAGTGGTACATGTGGTGTTGCGAGCGTCGAGGTTGAAGCGCTTGCCAACAGGGGAACCGGCGAGTGCGACGGCAGAGTTGATTACCTCAAGAATGATGGCCTCGGGGCCATTTGCGGCCGGCGGGTGTGGAGAGGTGGAGGAGGGTTTTCGATCAAGTGGTCCAAGAGGGGGCCCCTGAAAATTCGGGGAATTTCATCGATTGATGAGGCGGCCAGAAGCGTACTCGCGATGTTGGAGTCAACAGGAGGATCTAGATTCGGAGGTGAGAGAGGGTTTTGATCAGGCGTTCCAGGAGGGGCAGCGAGGACGTGTTTTGGTGCGAGCTTCCGCCGCAGTTCTTGAAGGAGGCTCATGGCGAGGATGAGCTTTTGGCTGTCTAATTACGCCAAGTTATTGAAGGGGCCTACTTGGAGCTCCGACGGCGGCGACTTATACTACTTCAGGTATAGATTCGATTCCCAAACCCTGAGCTCTACCAGTATAGATCCTGAAAACTTATTCCTTGACATGAGCGGCTCCAATAGGGAAATTTGGGCAGAAGAAGATGTTGTTTTTTGGTTTTGGAATTGGGAATGTTTCATTTGGGGTTTTCATTTAGTTAGGGGTGGGAAACGGTGCGGCCCGGATCAGACCATATCATAAACACGGTCTGTGGTCCATGCCGATTAGTTTAGATTCCCAGTCCTAAGGCCAAGTTCAATGACAGTCCCCAAATTTGGAGACCTTCATTCCCAAATTTGGAGATCATCCCCATTTCCTCTTCTCTTTGCTTCAATGCTACATTCTCCAAATTTGGGGATCTCCCTTTTTTCCAGTTTTCCATTTACTTAAAAATGTACTTATGGAAGGCTTTATATAATATGTTCGTATTAATTTTTATCTAGTTCGTCATCATTTTTAAATATAAATTTTCCGATTGAATTTTTTTAAATTTCGAGACTGATTTGTCTTTTTGCGAAAAATGATTGACCTATTTTTTTTTTTACACACAACACTTAAAAATGATAATCTAATTAAACCTCTAATTAATCTACTAATTAACCCCAATCGAACACAAAAATAGTAATTAAAAAAAGAACGCCGGGTGGCGGGGACAACCGCCAACTGGGCGGTCCCAAAAATGGAGGAGTCACCATTTCCTACGCCAAATTTGGGGGAGCATATGACGATTATCGCCATTTTTGGCGATAACCCCAAATATAAAGACTCAGTTGGAGTCAGCCTTAGATGAGAGAGACGGGAGGAGGAGAGTCTTCTGACTCTACAAATTATTAATTTTTTAATTTAAAATATGACGTGGCGATTACCTGACATGCGAGTCTAGGTGGACATGACGTGTCGTCCGGGGGCCACCCATATAAGCGTAATGTTCACTTAAACTAACAGAGTTATAGACAGTGTTAAAGTATTTGACGATAAATGACTATATTTATCATACAAGTTAAAAAATGTGGCTATAAGTGGTATTTCTCCAAAAGTGGCTATTATTGTCACAAACGCGAAAGTTTTGGTTATACAATGTATTTTGTCAACAATTGTATTACAATTGAAGATATGAAAAAATATCTGAAGAACTATAAATCAGAAAGATCTAGCCCGCTAGCAATTGTAGCACCCTACAAACTTTTATGACAAATATTGATGAGCAAATCAACAAATTAAATAATTTTCTAGACGTGATTACAATTGAATCAGAACCATAAATGGATGAAAACATAAAAAATGATAAAAATGGTCCTTGACTATAGTAGTATCGAAAATCCTATACAAATTATACAAAAATTGAGACTGAAGATCAACGTGAAACATCACGAAAACGTTATCTTAACAACTACAAATATGGTCAACTATTTTTTGATGAATACTTATATAAAAATTCATATACACCTCGTAAAGGGGGAGGATGAAGTTAGGGCTGGTAACCGATTTGGTAATGGTTAACCGGTTACCGACCGAACCGGTTACAGTATACCGACTGCATTGAAACCACGTCCGAATACCGATACCGGTTTGTAACCGGTTACCAAATAATCGGTTAACGGTTACAAACCAGTATTACCGAAACACCGAGCCAAGGAAGCGAAACCACATTTTGGTTCGGTTAACCGGTAAGTAACCGGTAACCGATTGTGTGCAGAAGGGTGATGGGGGCAGCACGCTCTCGGCAAATTTTTTTAAAATTCATTGTTTTTTTTATGTACTCAATAATGTAAGTCTTAACCAAAGTTGTCAACCCGCGGGTTGACCCGGACCCGGTTGAGCTAGTGGGTCAAGGGTTAATGGGTCACCCGTTTTAGCCCGAAAATATGGAAAGCATTATTATATTGTACTTATCCTGATAAATTATATCAAATCTCATCTAACATATGAGTTATAACATATAATATTACACCAAAATAACATGTCGTACTTAGATTCAACATATAGTGAAAATTCACACATACTTATATAACATTAATATTCAAATGTTCAACTTAGGATTCCAAAGATTGAGTTAGGCGAAAAGAAAAATCGGTAAATAGGCGCATTTCGCAAAACAAAGAAAAAAATAACACAATTTGACCTCCAACCCGGTACATTGTAGCGGTCGACCCGGCGGGTGCGTGCGACCCGTTTTTCTCACCGGGTCAGGGTCAAAGTAGGTCAACCCGCGGGTCGACCGGCGGGTTGACAACCTTGGTCTTAACTCTTATTTACAATATTAAGAGTTATTATAATTTATAACATACAATTGTCATTTGTCAAACCATAATTGATTTATAAGTTATAACAAGTTCAAACTTCAAATTCTGAAATTCATTAAGTATCATCAAATATTGAAATTGAAAGGGACGATAATCAACATAATTGTCAATCAACCAAAGCGCATAATGATTAATGACAATGTTGTAGGAAACAAGTTTCCTACGGGTCTCCTGATCCGATCTAGAGATTGGGAATTTAGGGTTTATAGAACAGAATTGGGGATTTAGGGATTTGAGAAGAGAATTTGGGATTAGGAACAGAATTGGGGAAGAACGGAAAGAACGGCCGAGGCCTCTAGAGAGGAGGATAGACGAGATTTGAGAGAGAAAGAGATTAGGGTTTTGGGAAAGGATGACTTTTCTATTAATTTCTGCTTAATATGACGAATGACCCAAAGTACATATATATAGGGAAATACTAGAAAACCCTAAGAATAAACCTAATTCTACTAGAAAACTACTAACCATAATCAGAATTATCCTAATAATAAGCATAATAAATAATAGAGAAACCCTACAGAAATTGGTTTCTAACATCTCCTCCCCCTTCAGACCAACCTTGCCCTCAAGGTTGACCGACTTGATCCACTCTTCCTTCCTTCTCGCGCAATCTGCACGTTGACTCCTCCATTTCTTGCGCTTCTGTTTCTTCCAATCATGCTCTAACTTCGATATTGGGCTTCTCGCACCAACCCATTTTTCCCCAACCTTCAGCCCGCCAAGCTGCTCTTTTCGGCCCATAGAGAGCAAAACGGTATCTCCCTTCCTTCCTAGTCCATGACCAAAAATGTTGACTTCTTTCTCCAGCACACAGTACACTCTCCTTGGCCCAACAAGGCCCTCAGCTCCATCCGAGCCCGCGGCCCAAACGACCTGTGCGGCCAACCTAGGTTTTGCGAGAGGAAGGAAGCCGCCGCCAACTCCCTCCTTCGTCCTCCTCTTCCCCGGCGCGCCGCCATTCCACCGATGGCCAGGTGGTCGAT